TCCACCATCCCTATATAACCCTATTGTAAACCCTATATGGCCCTGTAATATAGTAATATAACCCCAACATAGAGTAGTTTCCATTTTATTTTGCATTATCCCGGAGCGAGCATTCCTGTCTCCTAGTCGAGTTGGAGTTGCTTACCTTATTCTTATCATGTCTGTGTTCCTGCTGTTCCTCCTTCGCTGCACGCCGTGGCACATGAAGGGGATGATGGCAATGGTGCTTATGGCCTTGAAGGACAGCTGCAGAAGTGAGCCCATTGTGTTGAGTACCTTCCGCCGCCTCCACCGGCGCTCCTAGCAAAATGCAAGATGGGAAGTTATAGGTCATGCGGAACAGGCTTTACAATGATAAGCACGCGGTTTATCGCAAAAACTGCAAAACTATGGATGGGTCCCTTGACCCGCCGCATATGTTAACCTTCTTGTTGGAAGGGTATACAGGGGCCTCTCACATGATTTCCAGTTAGTTATATTGATAATACTCACGATGGGAGTATGGAAATATGAAGAAGCTCTGGCAATAGTCGCACTATTGGTAACTTCACACGGGCGGCCGAAGTACCTTCGTACAAATTTACACCTCTCCTACGTCTCCTCCTTGGCACACTGCGAGAGCAAGCTGCACATTATCAACCACAACCTTGGGACAGGGACAAGATGAAGGCTTACATCTAGGTCCCCGCGTAGTGGATCTTCTAGCCAGAGGTCGATGGTTTTCCTCTAACATGCCCGCAGAAAAAGGCTTCAGCTTGCAGCAGGATTGAACCCAATGACGAGCCGAGCAGCGATTGCCATGAGTTTCTGGAAGACCTATTGCCCTCACTTGCACTCAGTCTTCAACTGCCTTCTCACAATTTTACGACGTATTTCAAGACCATGAAGCTGTTCTGAACAGGAGCTGTAACCCTTCAAAGCATCCAGCCCGAGAAACATGCAGCAGGGGGCCACCAGGACCGTGGAAAAGTAGCGACCTTGCATATTGGACACTCAGGTTATAGCCCCAAGAATCCTTGCTAACCACCTTTGCACACGATCTCGGGCCCACTGCTTCCTGCCCTTCCATTTTCTTTTCTACCATCCCTATAGAACCCCAATATACTATAGTAGCTTCCATTTTCTTTTCCATTATCCATATAGGACCCCAAAATAACCCCTATAATATCACATGGTCCATGCAAACTCCATGAGACCTTTTCAGGCAGCCCAGTACACCCCCTCGCCACCTAGCGGGGTGAAAGTAGCCAATGCGAGACCTGCAAAAGATCCATAGGCATCACTTCTGTCTGAAACCACGGTAGTATATCACCTATATCATGGCTTGCTGAAAATTGTTTGAAAAGCGGACAAAGCTGAAGCCGTGGATATTCCTCCAAATTCCATCTCCGCAATTTCCAAACAGCCTCCAAACAACAAGTGCCTTAGACCCCAGCCAGGGGAGCCAGGAAATGCGAAGCAGGGGAAGCCGAGCACATCAACTTCAATCTTAAAGACCTGGACAAAACAGGAGACCAAAACAGCCGCCATGGCATTCTCTAAGGCCACGATGATTCGCATGGGATCTGCAGGGTTTCGAGAAGTCATGGGGGCTCCTTTTTGGACAGGGAGACCCTTGGAGTTTTGGGGCAAGCATGTTAGTGGAAGGACTCCAGTACTTGCTCCACGGCAATCTAAGGTGTTGGGGGGTTGCGGCGCAGGAGCTTAGATTTGCTATAAGAATTCAGGCTTGAAGGGAAAAGGGACGTTGAGGGTTCAAGGAGCATGTACTGAACATCCATTCAGTTAGCTGGCTAGGCCATCTGTACAGCTTGGTTGTGCAAAGGCAGCCCTCTCATGCATGCCAATGCCAACTGGCTAGGGGTCTAGGGCATTGTGGAGCTATAGCTCGGCAAGTTACCCAACGTCTGCATACCTAGATGTACTGAAGGCGCATTTCTGTGCACAATAGTCACCCAAGCCGAAAGTTAGAGTTGAATCCAGAAGTGGCCTGAACCTCCAAACACAGTATAACTTCCAAACCTACACGCCCATCGGCCGAGGAGCGTGGTGACGCATGATTAGGTGATGATAAGACTATCGCTGCAGTTGCTACCAACATGGTAACATGATGACAACCAGCACGGTTCCCACCAAGATTCGTTCTGATGCTGACTTGCAAATGGTCTGTCACCCGCGCAAGCAAGAAACCCTACAAAATCAACCCAGTTTCATCTTGCGCAAATGCTCCTGGACCTCTCTCAATTTACCCGCAGCAGGTGCAAGATAATCAATTTGACTTTTTGTAGGCGGGTGAGTTGCGTTTGAGTGGCGCGCGGGTGAGCGGGTGGCGGGTGGCGGGTGGTGTGGTGCTGGGCGGTAGTGGTGTTGCTGGCGGCGGCGTGATGTTGGCGATGCTGGTGGCGTTAGCAAGAATGGTAGTACCCAAGCCTGGAAGATGGATTCTACCTGCGAAAGGCCCGCAAATTTGGGGACCGTCATCATGGAGATGAGCATCATTGTCTGGAACGCCTGCATGCAAACAGCCCCCGAATCCCCATGCGCACTCCAGGATTTCGGTGCAGCAAGCAAAAGCCTCAAGAATCAACTTCAGGCTCGGAAGAAGCACGGCGCTGGCTTTGAACTGGGCCACCTGGAGTCAAGAGGGGCGTAAATGATTTACATTGCACAGGCCCTGCCACGCATCACAAGCAACTTCTAGCTAAAAGAGAAGTGCATTATTATCAGGAATCAAGCTCGGGGTGCTTCGGGGTACAACGTTTTCTCTTCGGGTGCCTGGCTCATATCAGATGGACGGCGGTTGGTGACGTAATAGCTGCCGGTCACCGCGACCATAAAAAGGACGAGCAGCACCCACCACAGGCTCCTCAAAGCTGCCAGACAGGAATCATTGCTTTGTGCCACCCACTCCCATGCTTAGCATTAGCATTGTTATTGGCCGCACCATTGCGCGTTCGTTTGGACCCAGGTGTCTGGATCCCAGCAAACTTAGGGAGTCTAGGGACCTTCACATGACGCAAGTCTCTTGCAGACGAAGGCGCTCTATTCCCACGTCACATTCCCGGCAAGCACCTTCACAAGCACATTGACATTCCGAGATTCTCACTAGTCATCACGTTAGCTGCAAAGCAAAATGTTTATCTTCGACGATGCTCTGCTTAGTCAATAGAACTCCCAACTAGTCATCGAATTAGACTAGTAAACGTTGCGAGGACAGACGAATTTGCAATCGTCGCAAAGTTGGCGACCGCGCAAGCATAGTGTCCGAAATTGCAATCACCAGAAATGGGGGCCAACAAAAAAACACAAGCAAACAGATAGATAGATTAAGGTCTTTTGAACCAACCGCCAGAAGGCAGAGGTGTCCCACAGCAAAAGGTGCTTAGGCTCACTTACCTTGCGCTCAGTCAATTCACCATCAAGAGTTGCCTCCCAAAACCCTTCCATATGTAGCGCCCTGCCATGCCAGTCAAGATGATGTAGCTAAACCATCACCACCTACTGTAATACTTTCAGGGGGTAAAACAAGCCAGATACGAGTGTGGTTTAGCCGGAGGGGACAAGTTCCCTATGTTAGCGCAATGTGATGGCAGCTCTACTGCGGACAGCTCGGTGCAAGCAGCAACTTAAACACCATACAGTCAGAACACAAAGTCCATGTGGAAAACCTATGCTCAGAAAAGAACCCTGTGATCATGCTGCTTCCATTGAGAACTGCAACAGGAGAACAGCGAGAGCTACGTAAAACCAACACTGGCAACTTCACATGTTGCACGCCTCCGTCCCAATATCCACGTGCGCATTCCGCACAGGCAACGCCAGTTAGCTCAATACCGGTCGGCCTTCCTGCACCACTGCTAGCATCAAAAAAGATAAGGGTGCAAGATTGACAGGGGTGACGTTTTGTTGTCGGACATATTGTTTTCTGGGGCATAGATTACGCAAATTAGCGCACCTGCAGCTTGTGGACGAGATACATATTGTCAAACTACACTGGCTGCTCCTTAAACGAGTATGCTGTAGCAGCATCGTGCGGGGTCCCCTGCAACCACAGGACAGGCTCTGGCTAGAAGTGTGAAGCCATTGGTTAAGTGGTGTTAATTGGGCAGGAGCACACGGTTGGGAAGTCACAGCTTTCCTTAACTACACCAGAGCATTCATCATTGCCCTTCGCAAGGCCAGGGAATCTGGAAGGGTCGCTAGCATGCCTCGGACTATTGCAGTGAGCCTGAATGCATGCGATCGGAGCCACGAGTCGGTTTGCAAACTTGAAGACGCCGTGAGAGACAATGCAAAGCCTTACATGACCCACAGCAGTACTTGAAGACATGCCAGGCGAAACGATACACGACACACTATAGATAAAACACGGTGACTTCACACAAAGACACCGCACCAAGTCAAAGCGCGGACCGAGACAAGACAGCAGATTGCGGCACCGACCGCCGCGACCGGCCCCCGCGACCTTCCTTTTGTGCGGCGGCAAAAGGATGCGAGCCGCAAACGCAACGACAGTTGCGCGGCTCGCATCTCTGACCTCCTCTAGCCCAATAATGATCGTGGGCAGTTTTGCCATGACAGGGTAACAGGTCTCAGAGGCACGGCCTGCGGTGGGAACATGTGGGAATGTTTGTCAATGGGTGCAGAGGATTGCAGGGACTTACAATCACGAATTAAATGGGTTCAAGTCCACGAACATCTACCCACAGACTCCCGGCGCTCAAAGGGAGAGCCTTTCTGCTACGCACTCGGGGGGCAAGACTCTGCGAACCTGCCACAAATACATCACGGGACGATGAGGCGAGCCTGAGTACCAAAACACGCTTGCCAAAACCATGTACAAACATAGTGTCACTTGGACGGCTGGCAATATTCACACACTTGAGCCCATAAGGTGTACCAAGAATTACCAGCCCGAGTCAAAAGACTCCTACCCTTTTGACGAACAGGGCAAGCCTTGGACCCCATCTGAAGAAGGTGAAATTCGTACAGCCTATCTGTCAGTGCAAGCTGTGCCTTGCAAACCACCTTTGCAGCTCGGGTATGCCGCCTGGACAGTGAGAGTCTCCCTGACAGCGGTACACAGCCAGAGGGTTGTCAGCGGTGCTGTGGTAGTTTTTGAGGAGCTCTGGCACAAACTGCCTGCCCAGCATTGAATTGCCAGAAACAAGGCCGTCCTGAGTGCCGAGAGATGGGCAATGCAATCCCTCTCCACACTTTTCGCAGCTCCAATTGACGGGGCCGGTCTCAACTTTGATGTAACCGTTCTGGCAACCACAATCAGTCATGGCTACAGAGCCAAAACCAAGAGTTGTTCCGCTTGGACACTGACGGCACAAGGGCGAACCTTTTTGATCTTGGTAGAAGCCAATGTTGCAACGATTGCAACTTTGGCTGCCTGAGCTGTTCTGATACTCGCCTAGCTGGCATAGCTCACAGGACAGAGCTGCACCTGAAGACTGACTGGTGCCGGGTGCACACTCTTTGCATGCATGAGTCAAGCCCTTCTCATCCTTCAGCCGGGATGAATATCGACCTGACTCACAAGCCCTGCACTCCAGGAAGCTTGTGCCATTCCGGCTCTGCGTGAACGCCCCGCGGTCGGTGTCGTACAAACCGAAGCCCGGGAAGCACTTTGTCTTGTCAGGCAACCTTAGCTCTGGAAAGTGCTCCAACACTTGTTCTAGGCTTCAGTTCGAGGATTCGCAAGAAGATCAAGTGTCCGTACCTAACTTTTTTGAATACAAGATATCGGAAAAAAGGCTTCTGCCTACATCTCAAGCCAGTGATACCCTAGACCATAAAGAGAAGGGACGGCTTTGGAATACTTAACACTTGAGCAGGCTGTTTTCTGCGGTCATCCTTTCACATCCTAATTGGCATCCTCATTGCCCCAGACCGCCTGTAAAAGGGGTGCTATGACTTTGATACCCCGTCATTGAGACATCCTCAACCTCCCCTCGGCAATGCGGCTTTAGGCTGTCTCTTAAGCCTTGTATGCTCCCCAAATGCAATTTGTGCGAATCCTTCTCCAATGAGGACCAGTAGTTACGGCGCAATGTTCTTGGGATACTATCTAGGGATCCTCAGAAAAAGATGACCTTACTCCATAATACTGGGGGTTCTGACTATCCTTCCCAAATGACAGATTCCCGCGACATTGAAATCCAAGTGCCCTCTTGACAGCGCCGGAATGGAAACTTGAATAGTGCCACCATACAAAGTTGAACAGCAAATGGTGGGAAGGGACTTTCTGGAACTTGGGATTTCCTCACGGGAGATCATCTCTATAGATTATGAAAAGATAGCACGCCTATCAGATACACCGACCCCAACAAAACGGCACACAATCTTGAGAAGCTCCAATGTCGTGCCTAAGCGCCAATCGGACCAAGATGTAGGGTTCGACTTGAGCCAACGACCTAAGAAGGCTAGTTGAGAGTCTTGAGCTTGGAGGAACGCGGCCCACTGTTGAGAAATATCAGCCCTGGTTCTAGACAGCTTTGTGCTTCTATGAAAAGGTGCTGAAGGGTGCTTTAGTGCTGCTTGTGCCTGCTCTGAAAGATGCAAGACTTATGGAGAGGACCATGCCGTATGTTAAATACCGTATGATGAAGGAGTCCCCAGCAGTTGCAGGGCCTCAAGAATCCAAAAGAGCTTGTGTTCTTCGGGAAGAGTTCGCATGTTGAATTCGTTACAGGCTGACCAGCAACGAGTTGACCACGTCTGCTCACATGATGCTTTGTAGAACTGATGGGTTCTGTTCGGGGGCATGTGGGAAACCATGCCGTCGAGGAATACCAGTCCTAAGGTTATCGTCAGACTTGCAGCTCTCAGTCCAAGCGACATGCAACATCCCAGTGCGAGTCGCCGGTTGCCTTCCTGTCCTTCATCATGCTCATGACGTCGTTCATGTTGAAGCGCAGGTTGCGAATGAACTCCTCCACGACCGGGGCCAGGGCAGACAGGTCTTGGCTGACGAGCTTGTTGATCGCGCTAGACGCAGTGGCAGTCCGCTTGTCCCCCCTCCTCCAGGCGCTCAAATCGTAGGGGGGAAACGTGATGTGCACAGGGTCAAGGTCCAGGAAAGTGGTGTCTGGTATCCACCAATAGAATGTACTCTTGACATGCAGCGGCATGTTTGTCCAGTTTTTCGCAACACCCACAGCGATAGGCATGTCAAACGCCGTTACCTTCTGCATCATGCTGTCCAGGCCCCAGCCATCGGCGGCAGTCAGGTATGGCACGCAGCGCGTGGAGTTTGCCCTGCAAGACGGCGACAACCAAAAGTAGCCATCGTAGCAGAAAGCGATGAGGTCGCCATTCGGCTGCGTGCGCACGCCATCCGAATCACCTGTCACGGTATGGCAGTCTGAGATTTTCTGTGCTAAAGGGAAAGTCTTCAGACTTCACATGTTTACATAGGGGGGTGTATGCTCACTGCCTGTGACATTGAGGTAGTCCGCTTTCGGCTTTGGCAGCATGAAACGCGTCTCGTTACAGGGGCGCACCTGGCTCCTATCAATCGACCCCAGGCTGTCAAAATACTTCTCGTTGTGGTTCCAGGATGCATTCCAACCGCGAAAGTGCTCAAGCACGTTGCCATCCTACAGGTGGGGAAAAAGTATGATTCATTATAGTTGTCGTTTATCATAGTTTATCATGGTATATATATATGCTCTATATATATATATATGCTACCCCCCCCCCATTGACCAAGGTTTCCTGGATGAATTCCATTTAAATTCCAGTTAAGTAAGACGAAAACTTGGAATACTGGCTTTGCTCCAGCTAAATTCCTTTTAAAATAGGAATTAAAAAAATCTTGGTATACTGGAATTCTCTAATTTTGGAGGTGGCATTGTTGTAATATACATTTATATATGGATGACCCACCAAAAAAGGCTGAACAATCAGCGACCATGTCAAGTTTCACTTGGATCCTGGAAGTGGGACGCTTCAAGGATGCTTCGCGGGAAATACGTAGAGATTGCGCCGTTGTAGCCCATGCTTCCCAAGTCCACGGGTGCCTCCATAGAGATCTGACAGATACATTTACCCACCCCCAACTGTTTGAGCCTCTGATCAACCACTTTACCTCAGTTTATGCACTCTTAGATCTGGGGTGGCACCTGAGATGGATATTGAGCCTGTATCTCTCTCCACTCGTTGGCATAATCATCAGGCCACTGCTCGACGTTGATGTGGTTGTATGTGATGCTAGGCCCACACCCCAAATCCTGGAGATTGAGCGGCCGCGTGCAACCCATGAGAGCATAGAATGCATTCAGTGTGCCAGGCCCTGGCCCAGTTTCCACGACGTTGTAGGCCAAGATCTCCTAAAAGCAAAATGGTGCAACATGCGTCTCATCACGTCAGGGGCTTAATGTGCAGCATGCAGGTTCCGGGCCTAAATGGAAGTACCATGAATGAAAGGAGGCAGCAACTCACCCCGCCATCCTCCAGCAGGATGTGAACAACACCGCTAGTCACATAGGCAGCATCCCAATCGCTCACCCAAAGGCCAATGGGGTAGGATTCCCTGTCAGATTCTGGCGCTGCTCCGCGCTCTTAGCATTCGGGAGGCATGATGCCACTATTGAGGGCAGCTGCTGGAAAAGGACTGTGACAGCCACAGCCGCGTGCACGCAGGTACAGGCACGACATCCAACTAGCAGCATCTGGCCAAAAACAGCAGCGGAGTACACACAAGTGGGAAAGGGAAACGCAAGAGCTGCTCATGGGTGGACACATGAATCTGCCACGTCCCTTTTGGAGGGTTTTGCGAAGCAAAGTTCTTCAGTTGCTTGCAGTTTGCTTCCGCTGCCCTTAGGAGGCCCAGCAGAACACTTGAAGCTGAACAAGAATGGTCCTTCGAGGAGCCTTGAGCTGCCCTGTGGCAACAACAGTAATGTCACTGATGCTCGTGTGCTTTTCGTCTGTCACGCTTCCCTCCTTCAACAATCAGCAGGACCTGTTTTCTCTGAAAGTGACGCATGGCAAGTTGGTCAACAGTAGGGTTGCTTTCATCTTAGGGGCCCACAAAATCAAATGCAAGCCATCTTCCCTAAGCATGGAGAATAAGGGTACTGAGTACTGAGTAGCCATTTCCTGAAGCTCAAAACACACTCCAAACAACCTGAACACCACATTCCCTGTCCGTATCTTCTGGATCTAAGTCTAATTGCAAGGTTCAAGTTCAAGGGATGCTTTGGCAGATTCATACATGCCGAGCATTGAGGGAGCCATTGCCACAATCTTGCACTAAATCTCTTCCTCTATGCGTCGGAAATACGCGCATCGTTTCTTCAAAGCAATACAAGAAGTCATGCTTCTTTTTTTTGACTGCGTGCCACGACGTGCTTGTGCCCAAGAGCCTGCAGATGTGCAAAGCTGCCTTTCTCATCCCTGCCAGCTTCAACGACAGGCCGCCCATCATTGAATAGCAAGATGTATGTACATTCTGTGTAGGGCAATGTAGGGAAGCCTCTAAGAAGCTGGACCATTTGGAGGTATTTGTGCATCAACAGGCCTGGGATTCCTAGTGACCGCCCTGTCATGAGCTCTGAACCATTCCGCCACATGAGCCTGTGTGCACTAAGTAGTTTTTTCATTGTTTCTTGCAATTGTTTCTGAAACTTTGGCACACGGGCGGTCGCCTCCAGTGCTGGGGTTAACGCAAATTGACAGGAAAAGAGTCCCTTGAATTCGTTATGGGGTCATGGGCTGTATAGCATTTCTCAATGAGGTATTGGGCTGCAACCATCGTTTATGAACCCAAGAAATCAATTTCATGCGGGGACTAGAAGTCATGCGTGTTGTGTTGGCAGTGAGGATTGAAACCTTGGGGGCTTCTCAAGACAGGAGGACAGGAGCCCCTTTAGTGATGGCAGGGATACATGGAGACGATGGGGACACTGTAGGGTTCCCTTACAAATGACATAAGGCTTATTTGGGATGTCGCCAGGGGCTTCTGTACAGCCAAGGACACGGAAGAGTGAGGCCAGCTTCCGCTGATGAATATCAGCAATGCCTAGTTTTACATCCTCATGGGCCCAAACCCGTTTCGTGCAGCTAGTTGCTATTGTGCTCTATCAACTGCTGACAACAACCTCCGAAAGGTCACTGTGCTGCCAGGTCTTTGAGCATCCAGTGCACCTCACGTCAAGGATGCAAAATTAATCAGTTTGATAGTCAGCATAACAATAAACCGTGCCATCAACATCGAAAGGAAGAGTACCAAACATCCGCCGTGTCACAGCTTGTAGCAGTAAAGATCACTTGCATGACTGTTGTGAACAAGGTAGCGCTGAACAGTCAAGGCACACTATGCGGAATCTAGACGTCTTACAAGCTTTCGGCTCAGCCCAACATTATGATTTTGTTTACCTTGCGCCTGGGATTTTCTGAAAGAGTGACTACCCTTTGTGTCCTTCAATCTGTACTACTGGTGATTGCCAACCTAACCTGAAGGCCTGCGAAGGCCAGAGCCAGGTCCATTTTGGCCATAGCCGAGCTATCGCCGAAAAGCTCATGGCACATCTTGCTGGTTGTTAGTAGAGATTGAACGCGAAATTCTACTGGGGTACTACTAACAGCCCTCAGCCTTGGGGCTAAGCTTGCGTATGAGGGGTCAAGTCAACGGCAAACTCGTGAGCAGCAATGGTCTACTCCTTCCTGGTTGAACTGAGCCTAAATGCTCTTCATTTGCATGCAGTTCTTGCCTCCCAAAACTCCGTAGTTTCGACAACCCGCAGAAAACAACATGGACGATCGTGTGGTGCTCTTACATGCTAATGAGGAAAAGCCGAAAATTGAAGCCTTGCCTACAATGCTGACATACAAAATACCAAAGTAGGGGTCCCTGTTAGGGGTTCCTCGTTACTAGAGATGAAAGTATATTGGTCTACTTTGAGGCTCCCTTTTGTTGGAAGCCATCATACGGCGACCTCCTTTGGGCGACTCTCATATTGACCACCACCCAAAATTAAGAATATCACCCTCGGTCGGGAGTGGAAGCTTTCGTGTCCAGCGAGCTTTGGTCCAGGGTTTAAGGTCCCATGGCCTGCCCGCTGAAAGCCTACAGGGAGCAAGGGGGGCGTATGGAAAGGTTCGTGTTAGAAGTGTTGCATCCTGCAGTGCTTTGAAGGTCGTCAGTGCAATGCAACCTAAAACGGCGGCTGACGTCGCGCCACTTGCAAACGACAACGGGTTGCAGCTGTAGCAGTTCATACCGATTGTAGCACATCACGGCGCCGTTCATGGGTGCTGGAGTCATGATATCCGCCGCAAAAAGCCATGCTTCACCAATTTTCAATGCACAAGCTGCACGAGCACCAGCGTTGGGAACATCCAAGAGTGTCAAGCTGAAAGCTGCGAGAGAGGAACCAGGACAGGGGGTTCAATACACATCACATCTCGTCATCATAACTATTAATTCGTAATAGAAAGAATTACAACACATAACATTGTTCTGTTTATCACTGCTGTTCAGCAGTTGTCTTATCTTCCCACAAGAATCATTACAGCAAGGAATGGCTTAGCCACGCCTGCCTTGACTCTTGAGAAAAAGGTGCTATATGGGTGGTTCTCAAAACTGAGCTACTCTTTGGGATGCCCAATAATTATGACTTGAAAAGGAATATGAGCTATAGTCTAAACTCCTAGTATCCCCCTGAACAACCCCTATAATCGTCCCCTCCGCAGTCCCCTATATAACCGGCCTTTAAGGAGTTCAGACTACAGCTCATAAGGATTCTACAGGTTTTGTTTTGAGAAACTCCCATCTGGCGATATGTATTATCCGAGCCATTTTGTTTGTTCACCAAAATTGCTCAGATACAACGCAAACCGCATAAATGGCCACGCCAGCCGAAACACTGGGTCTGCTCTTCAAGTTCCTAAAAAAAGCATCTAGGATTTTGCCTTGGAACTTAAATTCAAGTACCATTGTGGTGTTGTTAAGCCCCATTACTTGCTGCATATTCATATCATTGTAACTTCAGTTTGTAGTTTCCTTACATAGGGGGACCCCGAATTTTGGGAAACCCCTAGACCACTATAGATGTCCAGTTTCCATTTCATTTTCCATGCTATTGGCCATTTGATCCTCCATTCTTGAGGGTAACATCCCTAGTTTAAAGCCCAACGCCCTAAACCCTAAAACCCTAAACAATAGCTCCCTAAACCCTAAACCCCAAACAGTTGACCCAGCAATTTCCTCAACAGCAGCCCAGGCAGCCGGGGTCCACGGCCGTTCGAGGGAATTCTGTCTTTCAGAATCACAGGGGTGTTCCTCAATGAAGGGGGCCCCCACAGACTCTAGGCACGCATAGGGATCTTAAGGGAACTTGAGGATTCTGACTAGGGATTATAGGGGGACTGTTCTGAGAAATACCCACCGAAAACTACTCCGTCTCAGGGCGGGCGCAGAATGCTTGTGGCTGTGCTGCCGTTTTGCGAAGTAGGGACCTCGACTTCACCCGAGTAACCTTGGCTCACCACATCTGTCCCTTCTACCATGCTGTGATCTGTCTAAGTTATCTCTGCCGTATTAGATTTTCGTTGTTGATTACCTTCATGTTTCTAGGATTATCAGCAGGTCACAACCTCAACATTTTTGGAGTCGCAGCTAACCACTGAGCACACGGAAGGACTCCCCTAGCTGCAGGGATGCGTCTGCAAATAACTGCACCCACAATTTCTGGTTGTCTAGGACGTTCTGGTGAGGGGGGTATGTTGAGGGAAGCCAGTAATTGCAATACAAGCCACGTTGGAAAAAAGATCACTGGTCTCCGCGACCTTGTCGTCAAGGATCTCTGCACAAATCAACTGATGCGCGCTGCTCAGCCGTGCCAGGTCATAGATGCCGAGCCTGCAGCTCAAGGACGCAAAAACCGACAAGCTTAATAATACTAACAATAATAGTCGTAATAATAGTAATTATACAAACAATAATGATGTTGAACAAGTCAGTAACAGTAACCTGGACGCCCTATAGAGTATCCTAGCAGGGGAGCTTTCTGTAGCAGCCAACCGGCCGGGTCTGGTCTGCGGGGTTTGGAGTGTAAAGTATGTCGGTATGTGTGTTCTTCCACACTTCCGTTGTGCTTTTTTGGGGGCTTTGCTTTCGTTGGGGTTTGGGTGTTTGGGTTTTCCGAGCCTACGGCTTCTCCTCCTATGAGTTTGTTGAGAAGTTGAGTTTAGAGCTTTCAGGCCTTTCGTACCTAGGGCCGGTTTTGGCATATCTCAAGCTTCAGGCGTGTGGGGCTTAGGGCTTAGAAGCGCTTCTAGAGTTTGGTGTTTTGGGGGATCTAGAGTTTGGAGTTTTGTGGGTGTGCAGGCTTTAGGGATTGGGGCTTTCAGGTCTTCAGGGTTTGTATGTGGAACGCCTGGCAGTTTTATGGAATGATGCGATGTCCAGCCTTTCACATGCTACCATGGACTATTGGGTGATCACTGAGTACAAAGCATGAACAAGTAAGCGGTAAGCCTATTTGAAAAAAAGGCATTGCTCGCTGATCTGTCGGAATAAGCACAAGCACGCTATTAAACGCTCGAAAACCTCAGACATACTCAGACCAAAATGCTGCAAAGATCAACTTCAAAAGAATCACCCCCGAGAAATTTCTAAAGGGGCGCGACACCACTCCGAAACGCACCAGAAGTTGAGAAAAACCTGCAGAAACGAAGCAGACCCCAAGTAGTAGTACCTCTGCTCCCTTCTCCCCCACAAAAACCACCACCACCACCA